TTACACTGGTAGCTTGAATATTTTCTTGTTTGTACTCCATTCTTTCGTAGTGCTGAATGTTTCTTCTGATAATTACTGCAGTGCCATCTGGGTGTTGTGTATGACATATATTGTAGTTTGGTAATTTGAGATGAGTCCTGTCAGTGAAGTGTGCTTCAGAAATCAGCATGATGTCAATGCAGTTGTTTTGTAAGAATATTTTGAGTTCCTGTGCGTGTTGTGACAGCCCATTGGCATTCCACACTCCGATTTGGAGAATTTGTACCGCCATTAAGCAATTTTAGTTATGAGCGTTGTGAGAAGGTTTAACATTGTGCCCAACTGTTCCATTAGCTTTTTCATCATTTGGGTTAGTTCTGCCAATTCAGTGGCTGGTTGTGTCATTACTGAGGCATTGTATTGATTGACTTCAGGGATCGTTTGTGTGGGTTGTATATGTTGTTTTAAGAACTTGGGCAAATGTTTCTCCCTGTAGTGTAGTTTTTGTTGGTGATTTTATTCGTTCTCGCATCGCTGGGTATATCTTTTGCTGCAGCTGTTTGTGTATCATGCATCCCCTATAGTTTGCAGGGTGATGCTCGTTACAGTTTACGCAGCGGACCTCTTCGTCTCTTGTTTTCCTGGGACAATCACTGGTCAAATGATTTTCTGCGCATTTAACGCATCGAGGGTTGTTATAGCAGTAATTCTTCGTGTGGCCATATCTTTGGCATCTCGTGCACTGAGGTATCTCTCGTTTAGCATGTGGTGCTTCAAATTGGACACAAGTATTCATGAGTAACTTTATGTTATATATGTCCTTATTATTAGCCTTTGGCTTTAGGTCCACATAGAATATTGGTAAGGGATTTTTAGTCTTCCTTTGTTTTACGTTCCAGATGTTGGTAACTTCGTGACCTTTTGATTCAATACTAGTTTTAATCTCATTTAAGTCTGTTGTCGGATGGACATTTTTTAAGACTACTCTAAAGCTTCTATCTTGTTTTGGTTTATACGAGTAAAATTATGTTTTTTTGTCAATTAGGGATTTTAGGATCGTACTGTAAACTGTACTTTCTAAGGGCTGTACTTTGACTTGATCAGAGCTCAGAGTTTTGATGTTATATTTTTGATTTGCTATCTCATCAAGTAATTCGATTAGAGGTTTGATGTTTTTGACACATGCGATGAATATAGGAGGGGGTTTAGGTTCCCTGGTTTTTGAACTGTCTTCTTGTACTGAGTCCATTTCTTCTTCTGAGAGGGCACGGTACCTGTTACTAGTTGACACTGCCTCTCCGAGCCAGTAGTCGTTCACTTCATGATCTCTCGCTCTCTTCCTGGCGCGTGGATCAGTTTGCCAGTCGTTTCCTTGTTTGGGTAGAGCTTGAAAATTGTGATTATAATACTGCATTTGGCTGGTCATTTGCACGTTCTGTTGAGGTTGACTGCAATACATGATGGGATTCTGAGAGACACCTTGTTCGGTGGCAGGAGGCTGCATGTATGATGTGGGTATCGGTATATTTATATATGATGATGGTGTATTATGATCTGTGTAATCATTCATGTTTGATGGTGGTGAATGTATATAGTTGTTGGGGTAGGCCATGGCCACGGCCATGCACTTATATAGTACTATGCACTAGAAGATTGTTCCACTTTTATCAAGCATTATCGAGAAAATAAACAAGATTGAACATTCCGATATATAGTTCACGTAATGATTCACTCACTGTGCCCACTTAGACTTTAAGTCTACGTAACTACCAACACTGCTCTTCGGAGCAACGACATATACACGTCCGCACAGCATAGGACTTCTCGTCCAACTCGTTCTTCCATGGAACGAGAATACACTAACAACTCATCCATGAAATTGTAAACATATTGTGACATGTTGCGCAAACGAGAACCCCCCACCCCCACCAGCAGCAGTGACGCGGCGGGTGAGTCAGCGCTCCCCTCCCCCTCCTCCGCATGGTAACGCAACAGGATTGGTACCGTAGTAACAACGGTTACTACCGCTAGCGTTGCTAGCAACACAGCGCCAGGCAACAAGGCCGTTTTCTGTATTGTCCGATCGAGGCTACATGAGGAGCAGCAAAGGCTATTCACAGTCAGTTGTACTGTGACAGTCGCCGAGTGCGTTATCAACGACTTCTCAGTTCGCAAGTTACGAGCTACAGCCGCGTGTGCGATAACCAGTGATAACCAGTCATATCTGGAGTGTGTAATTCAGAGAGACTTGAATAGCTCCCGCATTATTAGTACGTGAAGACTCTCGAAGAGAGTGTTAAGAGATTTTGTTCTAGGGTTTGTAAAGTGTGGAAACCCGTAACATTGTAATAATTAATTGTAGCCGTTATTTGAAGATTGTTAAATAAACCAATTAACCATCTCTACGGCGTATTCGGTAACGTAAACACGTTACAATATTTATTTTTCAAATGTCCAAACAGGGAATCTACTACCCGAAAAAGCACTTGACAGCCAACGCTCATTCCCATGGGTAGCTTAGTATATTCACACAGACCAAATGTAGTAGAAAAGGCCGTTGCCTTACGGCCTTGGCGGACAATGGGATCTGGTAGTAAGCTGAATTAAGATCCAAGATGGAAAAGGCCTTAGCTCCCGAAAATAGGCAGAAGCATGTTCAAGACTAGGCATAGGAAACGCATCAAAGTCAACCTTCTTATTAAGAAGACGATAATTTACAATCCGATACCTGACTTGAGGCTTAGGAACTAAGAAGCCTGGACTCGCATATTGAGAAAAAATTTCCTTACCACTCCCTTTTTCAGCAAATCCTGAACAATATCGCACAGGGTTCGCAAACGGGACCATCGGTCAGATCACGCTGACATACCATCCCTTTCTCCGTACCCAATTGGTCAGAAAACAGCTTCGGAAACGTTAATAGCAGATGTTCAAGCTTACGTGAGTCAGAAAAGCTCAAGGGCGAAGTATAGGCCGCTAGCTTGTTCAAGGCTTCTTCCGAACAAGGAAAAATTAAATGAGAATGCTGTATGGAAAAGTCTAATGACTCAAAATCATACCGACAAGAATGCTCAAAGGCGAAAGTGTAAGAGGAAATCGCAAAATCGAGTCACCATTTAGCAAATGACAAAAAATCAGTTCCCAGAATACGGGGGACGGAAGAATTGTCAAAGAATAGAAATGTATACTTCGAGGAAAAGGAATGAACCTTGATTTGAAGCGAGAAGGCCTCTTTAATCACACAGCTCTGGCCACTAGCCATGTAAACAGTACGGTTCGTCGTTTGTACCAGACAAGGCAAACTTAGGGTCTGGATCTATTGAAATACACCTCGTCTAATAAAAGAGAATGAGAAACCGAATCCAAGATGGCCGGCGAACAGTAGTTCTTAATGGTTAACATAACCGAAGGATTAAAACCAGCTGCCATTACAGGAGAGACTCGACACCGAGGCTGTTCACTCTGAGGCGCTCGGACCTCTGCACCATCTTTCACTGCCGAGCGCCTCTTTCGTTTCCCTGTTTTCTAGACAATCCTTCCTAACCTGACCCATTCCGGGACACTTCCAGCACCTTATAGCACGGCTGGCTAACAGCCGGAGAGGTCTCCCCAACTGCTATACTAACGGGATGCGAAACACGCCAAAGTGGCATTAGGAAAATTCCCTCCGAACGTCAATAGCCCGTCCTTCGACTACTTGACTCGGAAGCAAATATAATTCTTTCATAGACTTGGGTTCAGAAACAAACACCAACTGAGAACGTACACGAGGATGAATATTTTGAACCATACGGCGGACCAATACAGACTCAGGGACTTGACTGTCACGGTGGTGATTTGTTTATCCCTGTTACAAGCCATGGAGGCCCATAGGATTGTGAGACGTCGAGGCTCCTGAATATACTAGACAGTGGTCTTTACCCACCAGGAATCTTCCTGTAACTCATTTCTGTTAGTGACTTTGTAAACCACAGTTCCATAATGCGGTTAGAAGGATTAGGTAAATTGAAAATCTGTTACCGTGGTCGGGAATAGAACGCACGACCTTGTGGCCTGTAGCACAGTTCCTCAACCAACTACTCCATCGCGTGCCCCTATCAGCGATATTCGATATATTGTGACAGAGAGGCACAAAGTGCGGTTCTGAGTGGCTTGGACCTTATTCACTCTCTATAAGGGATGCTATATATACGCACACACACGTAAACATACACACGCGATAAAGACGACTCGCCGAGCTACTGGTTGGTTCATGTGTACTTGTGTGCGTATGCACGCTACATCGTGTGTTCTGTTGAGCAGGAACGGAAGGACGTGACATGGCGGTAATGCTTCACAATTCTTTTTCTTAGGAATTTGAATGGAATGTGGGACGGAACCCAAGCTATACTGACTTGCGGGTTTAGAATGAAGTGTAAAATGTAAGAGGAAGCAAACTGTATATATAGAATAACCGAAGAGCTGAAAGGGAGGGGTCGAGTAGATGAAAGATTGCCTTGAAGATGGTAGTTTTGTATGTAAGTTTGTAACGGCATTACGAATGTTCCCTGCATGACGAGTTAGAGGAAAGGAAGTCATTAAAATTCTGTCAAAGAATGCAAAAGTCTGCTTACGAATGTATACATAATGTAGAGTCGGACACATTTACAGAGGACAAACGAATATATTGTGTTTGAAAGGGGGGGCGAGGGGGCAGAAATGAGAACACGATATCTGGTATGCAACGTATATTTCCATTCTTAAAATGTAACAGACAGTTTTAAAGTTGACGTACAGCGCCGGACAAAAAGAACAGACCCCAAGGGTTGCAGCATATGGTCTCCAGTCTGTTGAACTTCCGGAGGGACGTTAGTGTTCTGTTAATTAGTCGTGGGTTATTCATAAGGTTTCTCGCCGGGATTCTCACCGGGATGCTCGCCGGGTTTCTCGCTGGGTTCCTCGCTGGGTTTTTCAGTTGGTTTTTCGCTGGGCTTTTCGCTGGGTTTCTCGCTAGGTCGCTCGCTGGGTTTTTCGCTGGGTTCCTCGCTGGTTTCGCAGGATTCCTCGGTGGGTTCCTCGCTGGGTTTTTCAGTTGGTTTCTCGCTGGGCTTTTCGCTGGGCTTCTCGCTAGGTCTTTCGCTGGGTTCCTCGCTGGGTTCGCAGGATTCCTCGGTGGGTTCCTCGCTGGGTTTTTCAGTTGGTTTCTCGCTAGGTCTCTCACTGGGCTTTTCGCTGGGTTCCTCGCTGGGTTCGCAGGATTCCTCGGTGGGTTCCTCGCTGGGTTTTTCAGTTGGTTTCTCGCTGGGCTTTTCGCTGGGTTTCTCGCTAGGTCTCTCGCTGGGCTTTTCGCTGGGTTCCTCGCTGGGTTCGCAGGATTCCTCGGTGGGTTCCTCGCTGGGTTTTTCAGTTGGTTTCTCGCTAGGTCTCTCGCTGGGCTTTTCGCTGGGTTCCTCGCTGGGTTCGCAGGATTCCTCGGTGGGTTCCTCGCTGGGTTTTTCAGTTGGTTTCTCGCTAGGTCTCTCGCTGGGCTTTTCGCTGGGTTCCTCGCTGGGTTCGCAGGATTCCTCGGTGGGTTCCTCGCTGGGTTTTTCAGTTGGTTTCTCGCTAGGTCTCTCGCTGGGCTTTTCGCTGGGTTCCTCGCTGGGTTCGCAGGGTTCCTCGGTGGGTTCCTCGCTGGGTTTCTCGGAGGGTTCCTCACTGGTTTCCTCGCATGGTTCTTCGGTCGGTTCCTCGCTGGGTTTCTCTGAGGGTTTCTCAGTGGGCGGACGTGGAGGTATTGGAGGGAATGGTGGCCAAAAGGGTGGTATAAATGGTGGCACGAATGGTGGTAAAATAGGTGGTCCAAATGGTGGCGGGAAAAATGGTGGTCCATATGGTGGAGAAGCTGGTGGTCCATATGGTGGCAAAGCAGGGGGTTTGTATGGTGGTAAAGCAGGTGGTCCATATGGCGGCAATGCAGGTGGTCCATGTGGTGGCAATGCAGGTGGTCCATATGGTGGCAAAGCAGGTGGTTTATATGGTGGAGAAGCTGGTGGTCCGTATGGTGGCAACACTGGTGGTCCATATGGTGGCAAAGCAGGTGGTCCATATGGCGGCAATGAAGGTTGTCCATGAGGTGGCAAAGCAGGTGGTCCATATGGTGGCCAAGCAGGTTGCCCATGTGCTGGCTTTACCCCATTGTCCCTCTGTGCCGGTAGAGCGAGCGCCACGACGCCGATAGTTGCGATCACAAGGAGTGTCTGCAAACCAGAGAAAAGCGACGTCACATTCTGTGTCATTAATTGACCCTGTGATTTTTAAGTATCTCTCAGCGCGTAGATTTTTTAAGGACTGAACAATTCGTGAAAGAAGAAGAAAATTTGTCTCAAAAGTTAGCGAAATATATACAGTTTGGTGCTGACAGTACAGAACTGATTACTGCATGACAGAAGTTCCATGCGTTGGTGAGAGGGAAGGTTCACCGTGGATTGCACACCGCAGCCTTGAACTCGCTGCAAAATGCGCTGAAAATCCGACCACAATGCCGCTCCCTCATACAGCGCTCCATGTTCGAATGTGCCTGTGAACTGTTACACAGAAGCTGCACGATCACGATTCGGCTTGCAGAGCGTCGTTTGTGACAATAATTTCTACAGCGTGAAGCGAAGGGGACGCAGGATAAGAGAGGCTCTATTAGGGCATTCCGGGCCGAAGCAAACTGGAAATTTGCCCCCAGGACACAAATAACTCCGTCTGGTCACCCCCCTGCCACTTGAAAAGATCGAAATTTATGAAAGGACGTAGTCACGTCTAATTAGAATTGTGGGCCCTGTCACGAATACGGCCGTTGAAGTCTGAATTCCTAAATTAGTTTCATGAAGTGGATTGCATAAATGTTCAGATAACTAGTAATGGACGCTCTTCATATCAACAATAGTTCTGCAGGCATCAGTTTTCTTTTAACAATAATTTAATACGGTGATGTTACGCCGTGTAGTCTTGTAAATGTTGCCCAGATTCTGGAAGAAATATACTGCCTGCATGTTCAGGGTGGAAACGTAAGGCAGGCAAATAGGCAACGGGAAACAAGTAGCAAAAAATCTATAAAATATTTTTGCCTGTCGGATGGGCTGCAATGCCCAACTTTCATTATACCAGTTTCGGTTTGAATGTGTTCTCGCACTTACCTCGTAACGAGCCATTGCGAAGTCCGGTGACAAACGATGAGAACCCTGCCTTATATAGGCACCCGTCTGTTTGAGCAGGTGTCCCCCAGGTCAAGCGATCCATTTCGGGCGTGACGCACTGAGGGGGTGGGACCACTGAATCACCAGATTTGATACAGATGTGTAAAGAAATCCTTTCGTCATGCCTGTTTTTCAGCACCTTAGCACCTGAGCAGACAATTTGTTTATGTGCCCATGGACATGCATATGATACATATTTTCCCTTAATAGGCAATAATATTGCATGTGCTAGATATGTAACTTTTTGTGCTTACGCAAATATATTTAGGGAGGGCAGGAATTCTGTTTTATACGAAACATGTTTACTGGATTGACATTCGCGTGCTCTCAGTCTGTTAGAGTGTCCACTATCGGTTACTTCGCAGCGGCTTGTAAAGGCGAAATTTTCCATCCTCATGGTTCCCAAATTATCTGCGGCCTCAGCTACAAACTTCTCACAGCGAGAGCTCACAACGAGGATCTGCAGTTATTTGTAGAACCTGCTATCTTACCAATGCACTCTTTACTAACTGCAGCTTCCAGTTTATTATTATTATTATTATTATTTGGGGAGGGCGTTTCCCCATGCACCGCGTCTTGTAGTCTATTTTGCGTCCTCCTTTTATATTCTACCAGTCGCCATGCCCTTCCGTACTGCTGCTCGCTATCAGCCCCGTCCTGCCTGCGAGGTCGGCCTCCTCTTTGGCAGTGGTCCCCGATACTTACCCATCTACCGGAGGAACTGGAAACTATTTGGCCGGGAAACTTTGCCTAATTTTGCTCAGAGGTCTCCTAGAGACATGAGGATCTTTTACGTGCCGTAAATCTACGACACGGCACACACGGCTTAAAGTCCCTCCCGGAGGACTTGTTCCCTGAATTTTTCTGCCCTTAAAAATTCCGCGAGCTCCGCCGGATTTGAACCCGCGTACTTTGAATAATGAGGTGGGAACGTTACTCCTAGACTACGGAGGCCGCTTCAGCTTCAAGTTACTCCTGTTTGTAATATCCCGACAAGGAACGCAGGGAAAACACCACCTCCAAATATAGCTATGTCCTCTTGTTGCTGTGTAATTGTTGCGTTTATGTGTTTTGGCGGAGCCTTAAATAGCAGCGCCTGTTGTATAATTTTGTAGACGCTTAGAATTAGCCTTTGAATTGCAGATGGGCAATTTATTCTGATTATGGGGTGATACATACATGTTTAATATTTTACCGCAAAAAGACCTACAAATCTGACCCTGTTACAGGGAGGCTCACGAACTTCTCAGTATTTGATTTAATATTATGTATTTAACCGGCGAACGAATTTTATTTGTAACATGAGATTAGTAGTTACTGTTCGCGAGCGCGCTAGTGTCGCGTTGTTCGTGCTCATGCGTCAGTTTTCACAAGATGGCCGGCAAAGGAATACTGTCTGTAGAAAAACGCATAAAAGCAATGTTTGTTTCTTACTGAAAGTTGCTGGGTTGTTGTTACACAGAGGCGGTTTCGTGCCTATTCTGAAACGCGAGTTGCGCCTTGATTCGAACAATTTATCAGTTTCGTATTCATTTGTGTAATAATGGTTCAAATTTTGACATGAATCGTCACGCGCCTTCTTCGAGGATCTTTGACGCTGTCAGAGTGCGCTGTGAGGTAGCCAAATAAAGTAAACAAGGAGGGCTGCAGCTGAAGTAGGGGTATGCGGGATGATCCGTGCAAGGAATATTGAATTTTTTTTATTTACATAATATTAGCAATCAGAATTACGTTTGATTGTATAAGCTAATTTGCTGTAGTATTCTTCGAGACGTGGAGAGGGCTTATCCAGAGATAAGTCCTGTTAATCCTCTCTCAGGTCGGCTGGTCAATTCCTTTCTAGTCCTCGCCCATTGTGAGGTTCCATNAATTCCTTTTCAGTCTTCGTTCATTGTGTGGTTCCAGTAACGGTTGCATTAGCACGTTCTCATGTCCTATTTTGTTGAGGTATCTTGTGCTTTTCTCTTTTATAACTTCCT